GCTCCACATTCACACGAGTTATCTGCTGGCCTTGAACGATGACGTCCTTACATATCATAAACCTATCGAAAGAGAGCATCTTTCCCAAGAATGCCAGTAAAAGTCCCAAAGAAGACTCTCATTAGTCCTGCATTGATCATGTGCCTATTTCTGATCAATCACTATGACTAGAAAGAGGAAGTGTCCTAATTAGCCAAACCTGGGTCATTTTCCCAGGCTGGGCTTGAAGGTGGAGGGGAACAGGAAGAAAGTCCAACTTCCTCTGATCTGATTGGACTGGGCAGTATTGTAATAGAAGGTAGGGAGGCTTAGCAAAATTGTATCCCTAATGTTGCTATAAGAAGAAAATATATAGCATAGACATTGAGTTCCACAATCTAATTAAACCCAGAAATTGTCTTGTTAGTATTAGTAACTCCAGCACCTTGTAGGAAGTAAACTGAATGTGTTGATTTTTGTAGGAGGATAGAAGCTTGTGGGAAAGGAACAAGGTGTTCAGGGCAAATGTGGTCCTAGATGAACCCAGGGTATTTATGCTGTAGGTTTTAGGGACTGAGGAGAATGAAATACTCTCTTGAGGATGAGAAATACTCTCTTGAGGATGAGAGCTTAATACTCTCGGACTCCAAGCTGGCCTTGCTTGGCTTCTAGAAGCTTCTAAACTCCTACAGTCTCTCTCTCTCTCATTCTCTCTCTCTCCCTCCCTCTTTTCCCTCTCTTTTCCCCCCTCGCCATTTCTCTCTCTCTCTGTCCTTCTTGCTGCTTCTCTCATTGAGGGTAGAGCCCTCATGAATGGATTAGTGTTGTTATTGTGAGAGTGTTATAAAAGTGAATTCAGCCCCCTCTTGCTCCCTCTTATCCTCTCCTGACCTTCCGCCTCCTGCCATGGGATGACACAGCAAGAAGGTCTTCACCAGATGCTGGCCCCTCCATCTTGGACCTTTTGGCCTCTAGAACTGTGAGAAATAAATTTCTGTTCACTATAGATTGCCCAATCTCAGGTATTCTGTTAGCAGCACAAAACAGACTAAGGCAGGAATGTTTTCTAAAATATAAATCAGGTCCTATCGCTCTTTGGCTTTAAATCCTCCAATGGCTCCCCAGTACCATGAGAATAAAATCCAAACTCTTAAAATCTTACAAGTACCTTCATAATCTGGCTCCTCGTTGCCTCCCAACCTCACCTTAATCTCTCTTTACACCAGCCACATCCTGACTTCTTTTAGTCATCAAATGTGGAATGCTCTCTCCTAGCCAGTAAATGCTATTTTCTCATCCTCAGACCTTAACACTAAATC